GGAACTGAGATCCTGATATCTCAGCCTCTTGAGTAGCTGGGATTACAGGTGTAAGACACTGGTGTGTGGCCAGCAATTAAATTTTAAGACATTTTGGAGGGACTTTCATGCCATAGCACTTAGCCTTGCTCTCTAAACTGTGGCATGGGACAGATAAGTATGGAGGCTTTCTCCATATCCCATATATATATGTTCAGGGTCCCCACCTGACTGTGCAGTTAGTGATACAGGATGCTGATAGACCTGGCAGCCTCAAGCAAGAAAGATGGACCCCTTTGTGTATCAGATAGGATGTCAAAGAGCCATGTCAGGGGGTAGGGGGCAGCATGCTGGTGGTGGTAGACTGAGAACCAAGGCATGTCCTATGGAGTCAATAGCCAGATGTCATGCCCTCACATGTGGCAGGGTAAGAACCTCATGATCACAGGAGAAAAGAGATCCCATTACAGTGACCAACAGAGATGGACCCAGGTGCTTCTGCTTCCTGGAGCAGAAGGCCTAGAAGACAACCTGTGCAGAGCCAGCGACCCTCCCCAGCCATGCTTCTCTAGCATTTGGGTAAGCCTTCCCCTACACTGAGCTTGAACCCCAGGGCTAGAGGTGGGGGAGATGAAACTTGGAGTATTGAAAAGGCAGAGAAATAGGAAGTAGCAGAACTTAACTTTGCCAGAAAATCACTGAATTAAAATGTCTGCATCAGAGAGAATAGAGGCTCAGAGACAGATTAAATTGAGTCAGAGGAAATGAATTTTTTTTTTTTCAGTCTTGGGAAAGAACAGTCCTTGTGTATGCCTAGTGCATGTTCTATCACTGGGCTATATCCCATGCCCTGAAGCTCTGCTTCTTTTCATGTTTTTGTAAATAAGATTCCTTTAGTGTAATTTTTATTGGTTTACTTTAAATGTATATTGAGTTTCTGTTTCTTAAACTTATGAATTGGTGATGGGAGGCCGGTGGAGTGCTTGCTCCAGTTAGGTAGAGTGCCTGGGGCATGGCAGGTCCTAGAGGAGCCCAGGCAGGAGTTCTGGTACAGTGCACAGCCTAGGCCTAGTGACAGGCCCTTCTGGACCTCAAGGAGGCTGATAGGACTGCAATGGACAGGACAGATCTGGAGAGTGACTAGAGGAAGTTAAGGTGAGTGTTTAGACCAGGACAGTGGCAGCAAGGACAGGACATAAGGAACGTGCTGGGAGGAATAGGGGTGTAGAATGCTTGGACTAGTATGTACCAGGCTCAGGGCTCCATCACCAGTATCTCTAAAAACAAAAGTAGCTAGCTGGGTACTGCTGGATCACAATTGTAATCCTAGCTACACAAGAGACTGAGATCTTAGGATCCCAATTTGAAGCTGACCTGGGTAAGAAGTCCTTGGGACTCTTATCTCCTAACCAGCAAAAAGCCAGTAGTGGAGCTGTGGCTTAAGTAGTAACCTGTGCCTCAAGCAAAGTTAAAGGATAGTGCTCCCACCCTGAATTCAAGACACACACACAACACACACACACACACACACACACACACACACACACACACACACACACACACACACACACACACACACATTTGCAGAACAAATTTGTGGTGAGATTAAAAAAAGAAATAGGTGGATTAACCTGAGGGCTCTATTCTAGGAGGACCTTTAGGAAGATAGTTTTCTTGCTTTGCCTGTCCCTGGGAGAAGCAATTTACTTAGGAAGACACACACAATTTAATGCTCAGATGACTTGGGAGACATGGGAGAATAAGACCCACTAGACCAAGATGGCTTATGAGAATTGTCTACAGCTCTGACTTTATAACTCCTAGCCATTGCCTGGCTCCATCCCCAGCAGCAGTGTTTAACTGAGGTATGTGGGCCCTGCTGTGGTCTGAATTGTGCCTCCTTGAAACCCATATGTTGAACCTCTAACCCCAGGGGACTGTATTTGGAGACTTATCCTTTAAGAAGATAATTAGATTAGATGAGATCATAACTTGGGCCCTACTTAAGGACTAGTGTCTTTAACATCTGGGAGAGCATAGGCTGGAGAAGTAGCTCAGTATAGTACTTGTCCAGTATGCCCAAGGCCTTGGTTCATCCCCAGCATCAAAACAAAACAAAAATAAAGGGAGACAGGACTGGGAAGGTGGCTTAGTGGTAGTGTGCTTGCCTAGCATGCATGAAGCCCTGGGTTCCATTCTTCAGTGTCACATAAACAGAAAAGCCTGGAAGTGGTGCTGTGGCTCAAGTGGTAGAATGCTAGCTTTGAGCAAAAGCAACTCAGGGATGGTGCCCAGGCCTTAAGTTCAAGCCCCAGGACTGGCAAAAAAAAAAAAAAAAAGACAACAGGAGAAAGCATAGAGAAGCCATGTAAGGTCATAGTAAGAAGGCAGCCTCACAATCACCCACCCCTGCCAGTCCTAGATCTTGAATTTCTAGCCTCTAGAACTGTTCTGTCACAGTAGCCCTGGCTAATAGAGATCTCCCTGTGTCAGAACTGGCCATTACTCTCATTAAATGTACAGGTTTGCAGACGCGCCCCCCCCCCCCCAAGTCCTGAAGCAGGGGATCAGAGGTCTAGAATCCAGGTTTGAGCAGGTTCCCAGAGAAGGCCATGGCTGTCAAGCATCACTTCCAGGAACTCACCATGGGCACTAGCTCCCTTGATGTCAGCTTCTCTCTCTGTGGCCAACAGGATTTTTGTTCTTCGTGCCCACAGTGGGGCTTGAACTCAGAGCCTTGAGCTCTTGCTGCTGCTGTATTTTTTTTGTTTTTGGGTTGGTTGTGGGGCTTAAACGCTGGGCCTGAGTACATCCCTGAACTCTTTTTCTCAAGGATAGCACTCTACCACTTTGCGTCACAATTCCACATCCAGTTTTTGAATCTAGTTAATTGGAGATAAAGAGTCTCAGGGACCTTTCTGCCCAGGCTGGCTTTGAACCGCCATCCTCAGATTGCAGCCTCCTGAGTAGCTAGGATTACAGGTGTGAGCCACCGGCACCTGGCTGAACTTTTGCTTCTTGTTTGGCTTTTTCACTTAGTGCTGGTCCACTGCTCCTTGAGCCAGAGCTCCACTTATAGCTTTTTGCTGAGTCTCTCAGACTTTTCTCCCTAGGCTAGTTTCAAACCTTGGTCATCATATATCAGCCCCATCAGTAGCCAGGATGACAGGTGTGAGCCACCAGTGTCCAACTCCCAGCAGCATTTGACATCTTATTTCAAGTTCACTGTGCCAAGATGATTCATTTTCCCACCCCTTACTGAGTCGTCGTTTCCCCCCCTCTCTCCCCATGCCCAGCACAGCCAGGGAAGCACTGGAGGTGAAATCTAGAAACCCAAAGATAATTCCGATCTGAGCCTTGCCACTGAGACAAACTTGGTCTAGACAAACTTGGTCTACAGTGAGAGTTCTGTACAGCTGTGAATAGCCCTGATTAGAGGTAGAGGCAGTGTTTCAGAAAGGGGAACCATGTGACCCAGGAGCTGGAGCAAAGGATTCCAGATGCAGCTCCTGTAGGAATTGTTGTCTTGTGTTCCTGCCTAGCTGCAGGGTAAGCAAGTTACAGAAAAGCTGTCTTACATATCCCTTCCCTCCCCACCCCTACTGACATAATGAACCTCACTCAACCATTTGTGGGTTTGTGGCTCTCTGGCTGCTCTTTGCTTCCCTGGGAACAGCTCTCCTAGGGGCTGCAAGATGAGTGTTAAGAACACAAAACCCAATCTGGCAGAACAGATAGATACTTTAGATAAGCACCCAGGTAATGCTGGGTTATGAGTCTAGTTTTCCATTGACCAGTTGTGTGGTAGGACTTCATACAAGTCATGTGATGTCTCTGAATTTGTTCCTCTGTAAAAGAAAAGAGAGATGATACTACTTACATGGAATTCAATATTTATGGAATTTAGTGCAGTAACTACTGAACAGCCCCACTATCTGGCCTTAACTCCCTCCCTACAGAACTGGTTGCTGGCCTTGAAGGTGGAGCACCAAGACCCTTGTGACAAGTGTAGTATGGCCGGCCACCCAAACCCTGTCCAACTCATGGGCATCTACTGTGAAGCCACCTTCTGCATGATTGACAGTACAGAGTTAGAACAGTGGATAGGAGATTACAGCCCCAGGGCTGGAGGGTCCAGTCCAGGAGGGCAGGACTTCTGGCCTGCTGTGTATTCCCAGTACCTACAACAGCGTAGGCACACAATTGAGGCTCTGTGATTATTTGTTGAATGAATAAACCAACTATTAAGTGATGCCAATCCAGAAGACCTCTGACTCATTTTTAAAATCTCTTGCCAGCCCCTGACACCTCTGAGCCATCTGAAGCCAGAGATATTTAACTCCCTGGAGGGAGGTCCGGCAGGCTGGGAATAAATGGGAATAAAAGCATAATGATGTTGATAACAACAACAGTAACTAAATTTACTGAGCACTGCTGTGGACCAGGTACTATTATAAAGGGTTCTTTTTGTTTGTTTTTTGCCAGTCCTGGGGCTTGAACTCAGGGTCTGGACACTGCCTGAGCTTTTGCTGAAGGCTTGCACTCTACCACTTGAGCCACAGCGCCTCGATTGGCTTTTTTTTGTTTATGTGGTACTGAGGACTCTCACACATGCTCAGCAAGCACTATACCACAAAGCCACATTGCCAGCCCCTATTATAAAGAATTCTATGAACAACAACAACAACAAAAGCATTTTTCATTTATAGAGAAGAGGACACTGAGGCCCAGGGAGGCGTGGAGGGTTCCCAGAGAAGAGCATGTCTGATCAAGTTTGGGAGTTGGCTGGGCTCAGATGGAGTAAGTGGAGAAAAGGATACCATTGAAGGAGAGGATCTGTCAGCAAGTTACTGCTCTGCCAACCGCAAACTCGGTGGGAGGGACCAACACTTTCTTGAACCCAGAAGCCCGACCACACCCCCCACGTCTCCATGGCAACGGAGTGCACATGCGCTTTGAGTACCAGTGCCTGAGCCCCACAAGCACCACAATGAAGCCAAATACAGGCTGGGCGGAAGGGGCAGGGCTGCAGGAGCACACGGTGGACTTTTAAAGGGACCGTTTCTACCCAAAGCAACCCAATGTGGGCATTGCTGGCTGTGCAGGTTGTGTGGCCCGGGAGTCAGGATGGAGGAGGAAGAGGGAAAGCAAGGATGACTGCCAGGAGATGATTAGGGGAACACTACTACTGCTCTTTCCTCTTAAGAGCATTATGGAGAAGCTGGGCTGTGGAATTTCAGCTTGTGGGTGGGGAGCTGGGGGTCCACGGGAGAGTGGGGGGAGGGGTTATGGACTCACACAGGCGCCTTGAGATAGTTCTCCTCTTTTCCCCTCCTCTCCGGGTTCTGCCACCTATTTGCCTTGGCATGATCAGCCATGGCCAAATCTCCCGCGCACGGTTCGGTGATTGTCCCAGACTGGCACGAGACCGCGGAGGGCAAGGAGTACTTGACCTGCATCCTGCGTAAGAATCGCCGGCGGGTGTTCGGTAAGTGCCCTACCACCAGTGTGTCACTCGTCAGCCTTAGGTAGGACAGTGTCACCCGTGGCTTTAGGTGGTGTGGGCACATTAGAAGCAGGACAGTGCCGCCTTGTTGCACTGCACTCCTCACTCAATCTCGGGAACTTCTGGATGCCCTATCCCTAAGTCTTTCACCCTCAAATCTCCCTAGAGCTAATTCCACCATCAGAAACTGGGACCATGGAAACAGCAGAAACCTTGCCAGCAGCCACTGTCACCAGAGACGCTGCTGATGGAGCCCTCACTTGGTGCCAGTCCCTCTGCTCGGCACTTTACACAGTGAATTGCTATTAACCTTTTCAACCACACATTTAACACACTTGTCCAGCATCCTGCCTTCCTACATGAAGACAGGCCTCCCAGATCCTGCTGTCTGGGGTTAGACACTGGTGAAGGATGAAGCCAGCTTACCCAGGTCTCACCAAAGGACTCTGGCATCAGCCTTAGAACTCCAGGGATGGCCAGAAGAGACAGAGTGTCAACAGGTTTAGGACAAAATAAATAAATAAAATTTAAGGGTAGCTCACAACTGAGGACTTTAAGTTCATCAGTCTCTGGATAACTGTTTGGGTTTTTTTTTTTTTGCAAGTTTTTAATTAACACCCATAGACATTTCAGTATAATGATTCTATAGGATTTATTTGTAGTAATTGAAAATACTTTTGCATATTTAATATATGCCTGTTAGAGAAGGGACTTGAAAAGCCATGCTCTTATGTATGGGAACTCAAAAACACTACAGTTTCAGTTAAAAAAAAAAATATCCAGGCACCAGTGGCTCATACCTGTATCCTAGCTACTCAGGAGGCTGAGATCTGAGAATTACAATTGAAAGCCAATCAGGGCAGGAAGGTCCATGAGCCTCTACCAAATTAATTATCAAAAAGGTAGAAGTGGAGCTGTGGCTCAAATGGTAGACCACCAGCTTTGAGCAAAAAAAGTTCAGGGACAACACCCAGGACCTGAGTTCAAGTCTCAGTATAGGTGTGAATGCACAGGCGCACACACACACACACACACACACACACACACACACACACACATCATCTCATGGCCAGGTACTGGTGGCTCATGCCTGTAATCCTAGGTACTCAGGAGGCTGCTGAGAGCTGAGGATTGTGGTTCAAAACTACCTGGGCAAGAAAGTCCATGAGACTGTATCTTCAGTTAACCACCAGAAAACTGAGAATGATGCTATGGCTCAAAGTGGTAGAGTCCTAGCCTTGAGCAAAAGAGCTCAGGGACAGTGCCCAGTTCAAACCCCACGACTGACTGAAAAGAAAAGAAAGAAGAAAGATTTAGGGTGAACTTTCTGGGAATTACATCCAGTCTGTCAACTTTGTGTACTGATAAATATTAACTATAAAGACTTGGGCTATCTGTTATCCTAGGCTTCTGCAAAGTTAGAAAGAGGATTCTCCTAGGCACGTCCTCCCAGGGTCTGATGGAACAAGTGTGGGATCCACACCCATATTCTTCATGGCTTCCTCTTTGCTCCAGGACTGCTTGAGCGGCCAGTACTGCCCCCACCTGTGGCCATTGACACTGCCAGCTACAAGATCTTTGTGTCTGGGAAGAGTGGTGTGGGCAAGACAGCACTGGTGGCCAAGCTGGCTGGCCTAGAGGTGCCCGTGGCACACCATGAGACCACTGGTAAGTGGGTTCCCCTCTGTCTCTCCTTGGAGGCCTTCTGTGGCCTTTGGCCACACAAGCTAGGGTTTTATCCAACTCTACCACTTCTTCTGTGACTTTGGAAAATGAGCCCCTATTGTTTCTTCTCTCCCTGGAGATGTCCTGGGTTTGGTACTGGAGTTAGTGGTGGTAACATCCATACCTAGCATTAAGCTGGCTCGGGTAAATACTTGTTTCTTGTTACTAGGTTGATTAATTCCTTTATTTGTTTGTGTTGATCCTGGGGCTTGAACTCAGGGCCTGAGTACTGTCCCTGAGCTTTTTTGCTCAATGTTATCACTCTACCACTTGAGTTGCAACTCCTTTTCTACCCTTTCTTGCTTTTTTTTTTTTTGTGCTTAATTGGAGGAGATAAGTCTCATGGACTTTCCTGCCCAGGCTGGTTTTGAACTATGATTCTTAGACCTAAGCCTCCTGAGTAGGTGTGAGCCACCAGTGCCCCATATCCCAGGACCTTTGGGTTTCCTATAGATCAGTGAAGCTGTTGTCATGTGAGAGCTTCATCTTCCTCTGTACCCTAAGCTCCTCCAGGGCAGGTCTGCCTCCCCCATGAGACAGAATTCTCCCAGGTCAAGGACTGTGCCTTCCATATCAAGCCCAGTGACCCACCAGGAAAGGGATAAATCTCTTCTCGCTATACCTTTCGGGCCCCTGTCTCTCCCCCGCCCCCATTTCTTTCATGCTGAATGGCTGACCCCTGGCCTTGCTCAGGCATCCAGACCACTGTGGTATTTTGGCCAGCCAAGCTACAGGCCAGTAACCGTGTTGTCATGTTCCGGTTCGAGTTCTGGGACTGTGGAGAGTCTGCTCTCAAGAAGTTCGATCACATGCTACCGGTGAGCAGGTGTGCAGGCCTGGGTGAGCTCTGGGAGTGGGGATTGTCTGTGGTGAGTTCTGAATACAGATTTGTGAACTGAGTCAGGCCTATCTCTGTAGCAGCATGGGCATGAATGAGCTGAGAGTAGAGTGCTGAGCCATAGAACTTTGAACTGGCGCTGGGGCCAGTATTCTAGCTGCAACTCTGCACTTGGGACAGCCACTCCATACTCTGGGCCTCAGTTTCCCCATTTGAGAAAGAAGGGATTGTTACTGATTCTTCTCGGCTGAGTAGAGGGCTTTGGTCCCGTGGGTATGTGATTCGATAGTCAGTGTCACATACTGTGAGCCAGCCTCTCCATCCTCAGGCTTGCAAAGAGAACACAGACGCCTTCCTGTTCCTCTTCTCCTTCACGGACCGCACCTCTTTTGAAGACTTGCCTGGACAGCTGGCCCGCATGACAAGTGAGTCGCCTAGTGTCGTCAAGATGGTTATTGGCTCCAAGTATCCTTTGGATGGCCCCTGGGACTGTCAGAAGCCACTTTTGATAAGGCCCAGAGTGAGGTCAGGAGCCCTGCCTCTGCCAAGCTCTGGTGTCCAGCCTGTGGCTTTGAACCACGATCCTCAGATCTCAACCTCCTGAGTAGCTAGGATTATAGGTGTGAGCCACCGGCGCCTGGCTTTGTGGGGTTTTTCTTAAGGGATGCTCTTGGGTCTACCCTAGCACCTGGGTGTGGGGCTCTAGAGAAACTAAGCTAGGAGTGGTGAGCAGTAAGCAGAGGCACCTGACCAGACTCCTTGACTGTCCTCCAGATTTGACCAATACATGCATACAGACGTGCCTGAGCGAGAACTCACAATCTTCAGGCAGACCTGGGGGCTGCCCTTGCTGCGGGTGAAAAGTGTGCCAGGGCGGCGGCTAGCTGATGGGCGCACACTGGATGGGCGAGCAGGGCTGGCTGATGTTGCCCATGTGCTTAATGGCCTTGCTGAGCAGCTGTGGTACCAGGACCAGGTGACAGCCGGCCTGCTTCCCAGCCCCTCAGAGAATGCTCCTGGCTAAGGGGGATGGCATCATGAGTGGACACCTATGAGTCTCCACTCGGAGCCCCAAGGTAACAGGACCAAGGGCACGACCTAGAGCCTAAGGCTGCTCCCATCTTGAGACTGGGCAGGTGGGGGAGGAGACCCCCACCCTGCAGAACATATCTTGCTGAATTAGGAAGTGAGGAAGGAGTGGCACAAAGCTCCAGAGCAGGGCCCAAAGCTCTAGTCCCTCCCCCAGCCTTCCACTTCCCTTCTTCCGCAGCACTGGAGGTGATGGGGATGAGGGAGTCACAGGGTCCTGGACCTTACCAGGAGGTGACTTCAAGCGGGATAAAACTCTGAAATCACAGCGCTAACTCTGTAGTTTTTTCTGACTAAAATTGCACCTCAGGACGAGGGAAGGAGGTGGGTCCTGCTCCACATACCCACACAGAGACCCAGGTCCTGAGATTTTCCATTTGCCCCAGAGCATCAGAGTCCAGTCAGCAGACTGGGGATGTGTAAGGTTTTGGAGGTTTCTGTGGACACTTTCTATTGGCTAGCACCCGGCTACATGCTTGCAAGTTGCTGCAGTGGAGGCTGGGAGATGCCGTCCATCCAGTACCAGGACAGCTTTATATCTGTGACAGTCTGTGAGTCAGTCAGCACTACTGGACAGGCCTAAGGACCATACTGGATGGGGCCTGGGTGTGAGATGGCCTGCCGGGCAGCCAGTAAGGACAGGAGCAGGAAGGTGTCCTTACCCCCAGTTGAGACTCAGAGCTCAGACCTTGAGCTTATTCATACCCCAAGAAGGGCAATGCCTGGGCAGGACCCGAGCCTCAGCCTGTGGACCGGTGCCCACTCCTAGACCATGGGCAGCACTCCACCCTCAGCCTTTCTGCTTCCAGGCAGGCTAAGCTGTCTGGCCCATTCCTCTATTTCTCTAACACAGTAAGTAACCCTATGCCACTGAGGTGGCAACAATGTGTGGACAGGAACAAGTGACGGCAGCCCTGGGGAACTGAACCTCCAAATACTGTAGGCACTTGTGGGGTTTTGTTCTCTCTCTCTCTCTCTCTCACACACACACACACACACACACACAAACACTTTTTTTTTTTTTTTTGGTCTGGTCGTGAGGCCTGAACTCTGGGCCTGGGCGCTATCCCTCAGCTCTTCAGCTCAAGGCTAGTGCTCTACCACTTGAGCCACAGCGCCACTTCTGGCTTTTTTCTTTTTGCTTATGTGGTGCTGAGGAATCGAACCCAGGGCCTCAGGCATGCAAGGCAAGCGCTCTACCACTGAGCCACCTTCCCAGCCCCACACATACTTTTTTTTGTGCTAGTACTAGGGCCTGAACTCAGGGCCTAAGCACTGTCCCTTCGCCTTTTCATTCAAGGCTGGTACTCTACAAGCTCCACTTCTGGCTTTCTTTTTTTTTTTTTTTTTTTTTGGTTAGTTTCTTGGAGGTAAGAGTCTCATGGACTTTCCTGCCTGGGCTGGCTTTGACCCTTGATCCTTAGATCTCAGCCTCCTGAATAGTTAGTATTATAAGTGTGAGCCAACAGCCTGGCTGGCAGGGTTGTTTTTTTGTTTGTTTTTGTCATAGGGCTTGAACACAGGGCCTGGGCTCTGTCCCTGAGCTCTTTCACTCAAGGCTAGTGCTCTACCACTTTGAGCCACAGTGCCACTTCCAGTTTTTGAGTGGTTAATTGGAGATGAGTCTCACAGGGATTTTTCTGCTTGGGCTGGCTTTGAACTGCAATCCCCAGATCTCAGCCTCATAAGTAGCTAGAATCACAGGCATGAGCCAGGGGTCCCTGGCTTTGGCTGGAAGTTTTGAGCACCAGCAAGCTTGTGTCCCCTCAGATATCCCTGGGTTCACCACTTTCCCAGATACCAATGTAGGCCAGAGCCAGAAGCTAATCAGGAGAATAATCCAATTCTACCCACCTTAAGGCTGGCTATTTTTTAGGTTTCTCATAACTAGCTTTGGTCAGAGTATAGATCCCTCATCCACCTTCACCCCAAATCCAAAGGTAAACAGTTCCCTCCTAGAGCACCTCTATCTCAGGGCTACCCAGCTTCTCCAGCCCCTCCCAGAGGCCTCCTCTAGTGTAGAGCTGGAAGCAAGCAAAGCCTGAGGAAAAGGAGGTTACTGTGAGCTTACCCTACCTCTTAACTTCTGCAGTGGAAGACTTTGTGGCCTGTGTATAGGGCTGCTGGGCTGAGAGATGTACACATGGGGGGCAGCTCCCTTGCTCAGGTCATCAAGGCAGTGGGTAGACTGTCTTAGCCAGCCCTATGACCTTTGTGAACCACGTCAGCCTCTCTTCTGTAAATTGTGTTTGCTCCTAGTGTCCCCCATGGAAGGGCTGTGATGATAAAATGGGCACAGGGCCTGGCACATTAGAGTGTGCCCAATAAATGGGAAAGAGCAGCCGTTGTGTGATGCTAGCTTACTCAGCATATCCCAAGCTGAGCACATCCTGGGAACTGAGCCTTGCACTGCTGAAGATAGAAAAAAATGGGTTGGTCAGCCTAATGGTGGGGTCTCCAGGGACACCGGTGACCCTGCCCCTGTCACTCCAAGCTGCAAACAACCAGGACTCGGAGCTCCAGGGAGTGGCCCCTGTGTCTGCCTAAAGCTCTGCAGTAGCAAGGGCCAACAAACCTCTCCATGAAATGCTGCCTCCACACTTCGCAGCTTTTTATCTTTTAGGTCTCAGCTGAAATGTCATCTCCTCAGAGTGACTATCCTGAAAAGGTCTTCCTTCACCAGAGATCTTCACCATTACATGATTGTGTTCATTTGTTTAATTGTAAGTCCATTAAGACACAAATCTTGTCTGGTTTACTCACCATGGAATATCTACTTCAGAGTAGCATGCAGTCAGTTCATAGTTACTGGCTAAACTAGTAAATGTATCCATTTATTTGTCCATCATCCATCTGTCCCATCAACCACCAAACAGACTTCCATCTGCTAGCCACCTGGCCTTCCATCCATGCATCCATCCTTCACCCATCTGCCTTCTGCCTACCCACTGTGGGCCCACTTACACTGATTTACTTATAGGTTGCTTGTCTAGTTTAACCACCTATTTCTGCCTCCTGCCCAGCCATTTGTCAATCTATTAAGCCCTTTTCACATGACCATCCATTTGTTTTTTTTGTTGTTGTTTTGTTTTGTTTTTTTTTGGTCCAGTCATGGGGCCTGAACTCTGGGCCTGGGTGCTATCCCTCAGCTCTTCAGCTCAAGGCTAGTGCTCTACCACTTGAGCCACAGCGCCACTTCTGGCTTTTTTCTTTTTGCTTATGTGGTGCTGAGGAATCGAACCCAGGGCCTCAGGCTTGCAAGGCAAGCACTCTACCACTGAGCCACCTTCCCAGCCCCATCCATTTGTTTACTTACCCATTCATCTACCCTCCTCCTACCTAGCCATCCATGCACTGGTCCATCCATCCATCCATGTGTCTATCTATCCACCCACCTACCACTCCCAGAGTCTTAACCAGCCCTGAAGGAAAAGACCCTGCAAAGTCTAAAATGAATCAAACCTCACTCCTGCACTTGCAAAATTCCCTGTGCAGTAGGGACACCAGCCACATAGCTGTAGGGTATATTCCTGACCCCACAGTTGGCCCAGAGTCCAGCAAAGATGTCCTTAAAGGACTCTACTTCCTCTCCCTCCCCTCCTTGCCCACTGCACCCGACTTCCCTACCTACTTATAGGCTCTGCAGTCATCCCCATCCTCACTAGAGGGCTTTGGGCCCTCATTCTGGGAAGATGGGCTCCTTCAGGCTGTGCTGAAACCTACTTCTCAGAACACCCACCTCCTAAGCCACATCTCTGGATGATAGACCCTAGAAATCTATCATAATTCACCAGGGCATTATCAGCAACTCGGTGTTCCACACTGAACATCCAAGTGTGGGGTCCCTGGGATGTGGGAGCACTGTTCCCAGCTCCAGACACAGTGTGGGCTTGCTCAGGTTCCTCCTACCCTTCCATGTGAAATGATACAGCCTGTCACCCTGCTGAGGCTAACAACCTGAAACTGATCCTGCCCTTGGACTGGGTCCACACCTCACTGTCTGAGCAATGTGAGTAGAGATGTGGTGAGTGAAGCTGTGGGTTGTAGGGCTATCTATATCAGATGTGAACTGGAACTCCCAGGCAGAGCTACCTTCAGTTCCAGTCTTGGTGGTCAGGGGCACAGGGTGGCTTTAGAGGATGATGGGTTGGATACAGGAGTATAGGGGCTGACCCAGTACACCATAGCTGTCTCCTTGTACCTAATAGAACTCCCATCAACTCTGCCCTTAGCTCAGAGGTACACAGAATCCAGACTCTCCAAGAGGATGCCTTCATTTTCAAGGTCTGTCCCAGGAGAAGCTCCTTTCTTCTGCAAGGCTGCAGGCTCTCTCCCCATATCCTCACTATCTGCTATGCCCCTTGGCCACCCCCAGGCCTTAGCTCAGCCCTCTAGCCTACTCTCCTGGCCCAGAAAAAGGGATTGGCCAGATCCCTACAGCGAGTGACTTACACAGGCTATGTGGACTCATCTACTAGGTGACCGCAGCCACAAGGATCTACCTTTAAGTCATGGTGGAGATTGAGTGAGGAAATGCATGTACTCAAATCAGCATTGACACGTAGTACACAGTGAGAGGAACAGCATAACCATTAGTATTTGTAAAATACTCATTATTAGTATAAACTTGAAAATTGCAGAATGCCCAAATAAATGGTAAACATTATGGAAAAGCAACTTCTTTTTCCACAGGTTTTGTGAGAATTACATGCCAGGAGCTGGGGCATACCTCAAGTAGCAGAACATTTTCCTCATAAGTCTGAGGTCCTGGGTTTAATCCCCAGCACTAAACTAAATAAACATTTATAAAAACGATTGAATGTCAGACAGAGCAGGCCCTATTTGTAGGCTATTTATTTATTTTATTTTATTTATTTATTTATTTTTTAGTCATGAGCTCTTCAGCTCAAGGCTAGCGCTCTACCACCTGAGGCATAGCACCACTTCTGGCTTTTTCTGATTATGTGGTGCTGAGGAATAGACCCCAGGACCTCATGCATGCAAGGCAAGCACTCTACCACTGAGCTACTTTCCCAGCCCCTGACTGGCTATTTCTCTCTCTCTCTCTCCTTCTCTCTCTCTCTCTCTCTCTCTCTCTCTCTCTCTCTCTCTCTCTTCTCTCCCCTTTCTCTCTCCCTCCTTCTCTCTCTCCCTCTCTCTGTTTTTTTTTTTGTGTGTGTGTTTTTTTTTTGGTCTGAGACCAGGACTAAAACTTGCTATCTGACACTTGCTTTTGCTCATTGGCTGGCACTCTACCACCTGAGCCATGCCTCCAACCCTGACTTCATTTTTTTAAGTTGTTTTCTTGAGGAGGACTCAGTCGTTGTGGACTAGTCTGTATAGGCTTCATGGTCGAGGGGGTTGTTGGAACTATCACATCATTCCAGGCAGTGGGAAAGGGTGGGTCATTTGTAAGGAGTATCCATGTTGGGGAGAACTGTCTAGGATTATGCCAGATGGTATACTGCTAATTTTCAAGGCTTTTTGTCTCCCAAGCATCCAGCTGAGTGGTCCCAATTTACAGATGTAGTAACATATTCAGAGAGGGTGAGCAGAGATCTCAAAGTTCCCGAGGAATCCTAAGGTTTGGGAGGTTCTCTATGAAGCTCCCAGGAGGCTCCCCAGCTCCCAAAAGTCCCCTGAACAAGTCTCACATTTGAGGAGCTCCAGAAAAGAGATGGCCAGAACAGAACAGTGCCTCTTGCATCTTTTGGATGTCTGTCTGGGGTCCTTCGTTGCCTCTCTTAGGCATAGGACTCCCATTGTTCCAGCCCCCTCTCTTACCCTAGACTAGCCAAACCGGTTCTGGGGAAGGGGGGCGGAGAGCAGGGCACGTTGAGACAACCGCCTGCCTCTCTAAGGCTCCCTCCGCCTGCGCCTCCCCCCCTCCCTATCCCACACAATGCCCAGCAGCTTGCATTGCCTGGCTCAGGGACCATGCTGACATCGCCCCCTGAGGACTTATCTGCAGCCCCACAGCCCCCAGGGTGGCCTGGAGTCCTGGACTGTGCCAGCAGCTGGACCGAGCTCTCTGGCTGAGGTAGGGCCCGACCGACCTGACCCGGTGCCAGCCCATCCTTCTCCCATTAGTCTTCTCCAAATGAGCCCTTTGTGCTGCCTGCCCGGCTGCTGATCCTGTCCTTGACCCCCTTCTGGCCCCTTGGGATCTGCAGACGTTTCTTGGCCTGGGGCCCCTTGCCAGCCACCATTTCCTACTTGGTTTTGTCTCATATGGGGCCAACAAGCTCTGGTAGGCACCCTGTTCTTCTGGGCAGCAGAACAAGGAGCACTAGGCAAGGGTCAGGGAAAAGCTAGGTGAAGGGGCCTGAGGGTGCTTTCTCTGGACCACGGAAGTATCCAGGGATGGGCTCTGCCAGCCTTACCAGTGGACCCATTGGTTACTGGATTTAGCAGTGCCTGCTGGACAGGGCTCTCCCTGGCCTCTGTCCATTCTTCTGGACCTGCAGATACACAGGTATGATCACACAGATTTCTTAGTCGGAGTATCTAGGGGCTTGGGGGGGGGGGGGTCATTTGACTAGGTGGGGATCCTGAGGCTCAGGCCTGGGCTATATGACTTGCCTGAGGCTGCACACAGCTGGTCAGTGTCAACACTGATCCTTGAATCTCGGCAGAGCTTACACTTTCAAGGTCTAGAGTTTCCCTTGGTAGTGGGCCACTACGGTTCTGTGATCATGTCCTGGGCCAGGTAATGATTCTGCTCCCAGGGACCAATCTCTTCCTGAAGCTCCCCTTCCCCCCCCCTCCCCCAACACACACACACACACACACTTTTTTTCCTCCCTTGGACAGAGATGAGCTACACACAATATAAATAACCCAGCTCTGGCCTTCCTGGGTCCCCAACAAAGAGCTCAGGTGGGCCACATTTCTGGAAGGCCCCAGGGCTGGCCTTTCAACTAAGTGGGTTATTTCCATGGCTTCTTGACCTGGGCAGGAGTAGAGGTGGAGGTACACTCCCTCCAGACCCCCACCTCGATCCTCCCTCCTGCCCTCTATTTCCTCAGTGTTTTCTGAGGCCTTGTTTGGGGGTGCTTCTTCCCCTAGGAGCTCAATGTTCTGCTTATTTACCCTTCTATATGATGAGGGAGGCAGTGTCTGCTCTTTCAGGAGTTTCCAGAATCCAAGTCCAGAGAATCTTCCAGAATACAAGGGAGCAGGGGCAGTGTACATGTACGTGTGACTTTTGGTAGACAGGGAGTGTGTCCCTTCGCACACATTTCTGCCATGTCCGGTGGCCTCCTTTTCCTTATCAGAGTGATGGCCAAAGCCATCGTCCAGTTGGCGGGAGAGCAATGACAACACTTCAACCCATGGAATGACCATCGATGACTAGGTTCCACTCTGCCCCAGGGTTTGTCTTTTTTGTTTTTGCCAGTCTTTTTTTTTTTTTTTTTTTTGCCAGTTATGGGGCTTGAACTCTGGGCCTGGTCACTGTCCCTCAGCTCTTCAGCTCAAGGCTAGCGCTCTACCACTTGAGCCACAGCACCACTTCCGGCTTTTTCCTGCTTATGTGGTGCTGAGGAATCGAACCCAGGGCTTCATGCATACAAGGCGAGCACTCTACCACTGAGCAACCTTCCGAGCCCATGTTTTTGCCAGTCTTGGGGCATGAACTTAGGGCCTGGTGCTCTTCCTTAGCTTATTTGCTTAAAGCTGGCACTCTATCACTTGAGTCATACCTCCACTTCTGGTATTTTGCTGGTTAAATGGGAAATAAATGAAGAAAAGAGTCTCTCAGATGTGTCTGTTCAGACTGGCTTCAAAACTCCATTCTCCCATCTTAGCCTCCTGAGTTGAGCTAGGATTAAAGACATACACCCCCAGCACCTGGCCTGCCCCAGGTGCTTTTTGCCACACTGTTAATTCTCTCCATAAAGTATCAACTTGCTGCAGCTGTCCTACAAACCAGATGAGGATATGGAATTTCAGGGAAGCTTGAAGGATGGAGGTTTGAAAGTACAGTTCCTGGCTGGGTGCTGGTGGATCCTACCTATAACCCTAGCTACTCAAGAGGCTGAGATCTGAGGAGTGCAGTTAGAAGCCAGCTTGGGCATGAGACTGTTACCTCCAATTAGTCACCAAAAAGCCAGAAGTAGAACTATGACTCAAGGGGTAGAATGCTAGCCTTGAGCAGAAAAGCTCAGGGACAGCACCTAGGCCCTGAGTTCAAGCCCTAGGACCAGCAAAAGAGAAAAAAAAAGTACAATTCCTTAGGAGCACAGTCACCCCCTCTCCATCCTTCCAGGCCAGGACATGAGAAGAGAGGAGAGGTTGTTAAGGGGTTGTGCAGAGACTAGCCATCCTCCCACTGGGTCATCTTTTTGGAGTCACAGACACTATCATGACTATTGAAGGCCAGGGGTCCCTCATCACTGGTTCTCTGGAAACTTTAGCTGTGTGTAGAAGTTAGTTATTATTACCTCCTCCCAGAAGCTTTCTCAGTATATCTAGGGTGACTCTAGCCCAGCACCCTACTCAAATGGTAGCTTCTGGCGTGGCTCTTGCCAACTGAGATTGTAACTACTTTTGTTTTTGGCTCTCTCACCAGACTGCCAACCCCACAGGGCATGAATTGTTTGTCCATCTGTCTCCCCGGGTATTTGTGGGCTTCGTGTCTGTCTCTACATATCTGGACTGTCTGAAGTTTTCAGTGTCACTGACTCTGTTTCCATCTGTGGGTCTCCTTCTGTCTCTGTCTCCTGGCCCTGACAGGCTGGGCACTGCCCCTTTGCCTGAGGAGCCAGGGTGCAGGGTGTGGGGGGTCTTTGCTGCCCAGCCTGCCCACAACGAGGCCAGGCTAGGGTAGGCCCCCGCCCAGCCTGCAGCTTACTCCCTCCTTCCTTTCCTCCCTCCCTCCCTCCCGCTTGCCACACCACAGGGTTTGATGAATCAAACTCTTTGTCTGGGTGGGATCTCCCCCAGCCAGCTGGGCAGAGAGAGGGCTTCCCCTGCCGGGAGCAGCTGAAGGAACAACATAACAGCATCAGCAGCGGGTCTCAGCCCTGGCTGGAGAGGTGAGGGGCTGGAGGGGGACAGGCAGACCCCCTTAGAGCAAAGGCCTTGGGGGCCTGGACCTGGAAGGCTCCGATGGAATGACGTCCTGCCTAAAAAGGACCCCTTCAACCTGGCCTGGCCCAGAGGCTGGGAGTTGGAATGGGGAGAAACCCCTCTCTTCCAACAAGCTGGGGGGCTAGGTCACCTCTCTGCCCTTCCCTGGGAGGGCCTAGTCTAAGTTGGGTGGTGGCCTGTCTGCCAGTCTGTGACCCTCCCAGCCAGCTTGGCATGGGTGTGGGCATCACTCAGTGCTGAGGCCACAGCTCTGTGTCTGGAAGGGGGGTAGGTAGCACTGCAGCAGGGACTTGTAGGTCCATGTTTGTGTCTGTATCTTGGCATGAGTATGTAACTGTGTGTGTCAAGTCTCTGGTGGGTGTGTAAATGTCTAGTGATCAATGTGTATGTTTGGAAAAAAATGTGTAACTAAAAAAAACTGGCTTGTGAGTCTGAGTTTGTCTGTACATATGTGTGACAGTATGTGTGTACATGGAGGCACAGGGATTTTTATGTCAATGCCTGTATCCATATATCTGATTGCACATCAGTGTGTTAGAGAATGTATGAGGTGGCTAGAGCTGGGAGGCCTGAGTGAGAATGCCGGCTCCGCCATTTGCCACACAACAGCTTCTCTGCTCATTTTCCCCACCTATAAGTCAGGGATGATAACAGTGAGGATTAAATGAGATGAGAGGTGGCAAGCAGTTGCCTGCGTTCAGCAATGCCAAGTAATTGTATTGGCTATTAAATTAGGCATGTAGCATGTATGTGCAGACATGTATACACAGGGTTTGTCCATGCCTCCAGGATGTGGTGGCTTACTGCCCAGCCTTGATGTCCTGCATCTAGATCTGATACTTTCTCCCTTGCAGGCCCAGGAGGGTGGCAGAGCAAAGGAGGAATGGATTGTGGGCCACCAGCAACCCTCCAGCCCCACCTGGCTGGGCCACCAGATAGTCCTCAACACCCAGTAGCTATATGCCAACAGGAGAGTCTGTCCTTTATTGAGCTGCCAACCCTGCAGCCCCTGAGCCCTGTGTGTCTGGACCTTTTCCCTGTCAGCCCGGAGGAACTACGGCCTCCTGGCAGCCGCTGGTCCCTGGGGACCCCTGCTCCTCTTCAAGGTCTGCTATGGCCACTGACCCCAGAAGGTCCAGATACAGAGACCTCCACCAGTGGAGGGATGCGGCCCAGCAGGGCTGGCAGCTGGCCCCACTGTCCTGGTGCCCAGCCCTCAATTCTGGAGAGACCGTGGAGTCCTCAGCACTCACAGCCGCAGCGCAGGGCCAGCCATGGCTCAGAGAAGAAGTCAGCCTGTGAGTCACTGTGGTGGTGGTGGGGGGGGGGGGGTGCCCTGTTGGGGCAGACAGAGGAGGGGCTAAGTGGCTCCTTTTCAAACCCAGACTTTTCCTAAATTCAGGACAAGTGGTAGATTTTAGGGAGTACTCACTTGGGGCTTGTTAGAGTTACACAAGAAGCTTTTAGCCATCCCTCTAAGCCCTCTTGTGGATCCTATTCTTTCCGGCATAATGCCTGAGCCTGCCTGGGATGCTCAGGGCCACAGGGCAGCAGCAGGGAGGAGGTCAGGAGGAAGCTCTGCGCATGCCACTCTGTGCTCTCACAGGGCGCAAGATGCGGGTGTACCAGCGTGAAGAGGCCTCTGGCAGCCCTGAAGCCCATCCTGGCTTCCTGGAGCCTAGCCAGACAGTGCAGGAGCAGACTGTAAGCACAGAGGAGCCAAGGGTGCTGGAACTGTCTGGAACTACCCGAGGAGCCTTGGAGGGTCCTGAGCGGAGGCGCTTCTCAGCCTCAGACCTGATGACCAGGCTACACTCTTCTCTGCGCCTCGGGCGGAGTTCAGCAGCCAGGGCACTGACATCAGGGCCAGGCACTGGAGCAGGTACCAGCTGTTAATTCTACTGCCCCAGGCCCTGAGAATAACAGCCTAGCAGCCAGATGCAGGGTGGAGCATAACCCACTCATGGAACACCTGCAACTGGGTGCTGATCAGCTGGGGTGTGGTGCCAGGGCCACTTTCTGATGCACTGGTACCTCATTCTTGCTTTTTCTAGGGAAAGCATCTGGAAGGGAGGCTCAAAGTGTAGAGATGAAGGTGGACACTTCATCACTGCCAGCACCTGTTGGTGACCCAAGCCAGGGCCTGGGTAGCCTGCTGGAACCCAGGTATCCACCTCTTCCTGGACCCTGGTTTGGGATGGGCTGCAAAGAAGGGTACTGACACTCTTTCCCTAGGCTGGACATGCAGGAAGAAGCCCCGGATCCCAACGAGCGGCGCCAGTCACGGTTTCTCCTAAACTGTACGTTCAGAGGGGCTTTGGGACCGGGTCATGGAAGAAGGGACTGGGGTGTAGAAACGGGGATCTGGGGAGTAGGGATCTCAGTGTCTAGCAGGTGGGCCAGCACGCGGTTGATGCTCATTTAAGGGTTATAGAGTGAATAAATGAGTGAGTGAATGAATGAATATATGCACTGTGTCCCCCCCCCCCCCCCGCCGTCCCTCCCCCACATGGTTTTCGCTGCAAGGGATTGAGTGGGGGCTCCAGGAGGAGCCGGGCTGGGGCAGGCAGCACCTCTCGGCCCTCCCATGGCCCTCCCCGCCCCTCTCTCTGCCCAGCTGTCCTCTACCAGGAATACAGCGACGTGGCCAGCGCCCGCGAGCTGCGGCGGCAGCAGCGCGAGGAGGAGGGCCCGGGGGACGAGGCGGAGGGCGCGGAGGAGGGGCCCGGGCCGCCCCGGGCCAACCTCTCTCCTAGCAGCTCCTTCCGGGCCCAGCGATCGGCGCGAGGCTCCACCTTCTCGCTGTGGCAGGACATCCCCGACGTGCGCGGCAGCGGCGTCCTGGCCACGCTGAGCCTGCGCGACTGCAAGCTACAGGAGGTGGGTGGCCGGGGGCGGGGCCTGGGGGCGGGGCCTCGGCCTAAAGGCCGGTCTGGGGAAGGTGGTACTCGGGCCTGAGCAGGTGGGGTTGGCTGGAGCCCAAAGGGGCCCAAGGCCGAGGGGATAGTGGGTAAGGGGCAGAGCCTGGGGGGGTTGTGCCAGATGGAGGAGGAGCCATGGGAGGGCAGTAGAGAGCAGTACCAGGCGGGCCAAGAACAGGGGTGGGGCCGAGAGGGAGGGTAGCGAGGGTGGGGTGGGATAGAGCCAGAGGGCAGGCAGGCTGTAGGAAAGGGCATCTAGGGCTGAGGCTAGAGGTAGGAACTCCGGCCTAACTTTAGGTGCCAGGTGAGGCTGGAGAAGGGCAGAGACATGGTGTCTATACAGATGACTTGAGGTGCTTAGGTGGACTGACAAACCTTGCGTCCACCCTCTTGCAGGCCAAGTTTGAGCTGATCACCTCTGAGGCCTCGTACATCCACAGCCTGTCTGTGGCCGTGGGACACTTCTTGGGCTCTGCTGAGCTAAGTGAGTGTCTGGGGGCTCAGGACAAGCAGTGGCTATTTTCCAAGCTGCCTGAGGTCAAGAGCACCAGTGAGAGGTGAGGGAGGGGAGGGGAGGAGGTGGAAGGGAATGAGTGGTCTGGCCTGGCTAGCTGGGCAGCTTCCAAATAGGAAGGGGTCAATACCCTGGCCTGACCCCTGGCCCACCCCTCAGGTTCCTGCAGGACTTGGAGCAGCGTCTGGAGGCAGATGTACTGCGATTCAGTGTGTGCGATGTAGTGTTCCATCATTGCCCTGCCTTCCGCCGTGTCTACCTGCCCTATGTCACCAACCAGGCCTACCAAGAGCGAACCTACCAGCGCCTGCTGTATGGAAGGGGATCTGAAAGAGGGACGGAGGGGGCTCAGGCAGGTGTAGGCAGAGAGGACAGGATGAGACTGGGTGGTTGGGAGGGGAGGCTTCCTGAAAGGGGCTTTGAGCAGCTTAAATGTGACCTGATCCCAGGGGCTGAAGCAGATGTTAAAAAGGCACCTGAACTACTCAGGAGGCTGAGATCTGAGGATCACTGTTAAAGCCAGCTGGGGCAGGGAGTCCATGAGACTCTTATCTCTAATAAACCACCAGAAAACTAGAAGTGGCTGAAGAGCTCAGGGTCAGAGCCCAGGCTCAGAGTTCAAGGCTTAGGACTGACCAAAAAAGAGAAGGCACCTGAAGATGAGTAGGGTGGTGGAGGTGGTAGATCCTAGGGGTTTAGGTCCACCTGTGACTCCAGACTCCCACTCCATTGTCTTGTCATAGCTTGGAAAACCCCAAGTTCCCCAGCATTTTGGCCCGTCTGGAGGAGTCTCCAGCTTGCCAGCGGCTGCCCCTCACCTCCTTCCTCATCCTGCCCTTCCAGAGGATCATGCGCCTCAAGATGCTGGTGGAGGTACTGGGGCTCAGACCGTGTACGGGAAGGCTGGTAGAGATGCCCCTGTCAAAGGTGGACAGGTCACGGAGGGAGGGTAACCTGCCTCAGTGAGCTAATGTCACCCTCTAGAACATCTTGAAGCGAACTACACAGGGCTCCCATGACGAAGACATGGCCACCAAGGCCTTTAATGCACTCAAAGAGGTAAGCTCGGCAGGGCAGGGGTGCCCAAAGGGCTCACCTGGACTCAGTGTACTGCTAAAGGACCCCTCAGCCACAGACTCTCTGGTCAGAGGTAGTGGTGTGGGAACCCAGGTTGTAGGGGGCTGCAGGTGACATCCTATGGCTTACCCAGCTGGTACAGGAATGCAACGCCAGTGTGCAGTCTATGAAGAGGACAGAGGAGCTCATCCACCTGAGCAAGAAGATCCACTTTGAGGGCAAGGTGTGGACTGCAGCTGATGGGATGGGGCTGTAAGGGCAGCTCTGGTTCCTTCCTTTCCCCCTGGTACTTCAGGCCCATGAATTCCTGCCCCACAGACTCCCTTCCTCCACCATGTGTTATGCCAATGCCTCTGAACTTTGCTTACCCATACTCTTGTCTACTTTGTCCCCCAGATCTTCCCACTGATCTCACAGGCCCGTTGGCTGGTTCGGCATGGGGAACTAGTGGAGCTGGCACCACTGCCCGCAGCTCCACCTGCCAAGCTGAAGCTGTCCAGCAAGGCGGTCTACTTGCACCTCTTCAATGACTGCCTTCTGCTCTCCCGGAGGAAGGAGTGAGTGTGTTGGTTAGAGCCAAGTTTCCTTCTTCCCTTCCCCTGGGCTCATGACCTAGGACCTCTTGCTGGGTCTGGGAGCCCCAGCTGGTTTCTTGGGGACTCTTGGAGCAAAGGCAGATAATGACTCTCCAGATGGAGAGTCAAGAGCTGGACTGTGTGGAAAACTCAATGCTGCTCTGTGAGAGCATATCAGGGAACCCAGTCCTGCCCAGCCTGTCAGAGCTAGAACAGTGGCTTTTGCCTATTGCTGTTTGGCACCCAGTGTGCCATGTGACTTGTTCCCTTCAATCCTACAGACACTTCAGCCTGTGTCCCTTGGTCACAGGCTCCCTTGGATGTGTCAAGATCCAGGAGTTAGCCAGGAGGTGGCCAGCTCTGTCTGACACCACAAGCTAGGCTCTCCCCAACTGCACTATCCTATCACCTGTAACACAGAGACCACAAGGTAGTCATAGTAGCATAGGAACAGAGTTCCCACAATACCTGGTACTTGTCTTCCTGAGGGAGGAGGGAAGAAGGCAGGAGAAGAGTGGGAATGAGGGAAGTCAGAAAGTTAAGCTGGACAAATAGCAGGCATTTGAAGTGAAGTGTTCATTCCTGATTTAATTATTCACTTAGTAAATTGTTCCTGGATCTCTGCTCTGTACTGCACTCTCTGCTTGATGCTGTGGACATAAATTTATGACTGAAACTTGTTCTGTGCTCATATACTATTGGGTTTTATTTTTGGGAGGCCAGGGGGTTGTATTTGTTTGTTTGTTTTTCAGTTGTGGGGCTTGAACTCAGGGCCTGGGCACTATTCCTAAGCTCTTTTTGTTCAAGGCAAGTGCTCTACCACTTTAAGCCTCAGTATCACTTCCAGCTTTCTGGTAGTTAATTGGAGAAAAGAATCTCATGGACTTTCCTGCCTGGGCTGGCTTTGAACTACAGTCCTCAAGACTCAGCCTCCTGAGTAGCTAGAATTATAGACGTGAACCACCAGTGCCTAGCTTATACCATTTGTTTGGTTTGGTTTTTGTGCCAGTACTGGGGCTTGAACTCAGGACCTGAGTGCTGCCCCTGAGCTTTTTCACACAAAGCTGGCACTCTACCCCTTGAGCTACAGCTCCACTTCCAGTTTTTTGTTGATTAGTTGGAGCTAAGAGTCTCCCAGACTTTCCTACCTAGGCTAGATTTGAGGAATAGGGCAGATAAGAGTCTCTTATGGAGACTTTTCTGCCTGGGCTGGCTTTGAACCTAGATCCTCAGATCTCAGCCTCCTGAGTAGCTAGGATTACAGGCTTGAGCCATCCGTACCCAGCTAGACTGCCTGCATTTGAGGAATAGGGCAGAAGAATTTGGGTTAGACTTGTTTTGAGGACACCTAGGAGCCTGGTGGATGGGAGCAGAGGGTCACTATGCTCCTGACCAGTTTGGAGGAGGCTGGGAGCTCTTGGAGGCCCAGGTGAGCTTGGACCCTCCACAGGTGGCAGATGCTTGAGAAGGTATTTGCCCCAGTCTGGAAAGAGGAGGGAGGCTAGGGCGTGGCTCCCCTGGGAGTGGAGCCAGGGAAGGGAAGGGTAAGCTTGCCTGCTGAGCTCCTGGAGGCCCAGTGGTGGGATGGGCCCCTGGAGTACAGGAAGAGAAGGGGCCAGGCTGGGAGCAGGAGATGTTGGGTCCTGTTCAGAGTAGCTGAGATAAATAAGCTATGGACCTCTGCCTAGCCTCTAATCCTCCTTCCCTTGGGGGCCAGGCAGGGCCTGAAGTGTCTGATTGGCCCTTTGGAGGAGAAGCTGGGTAGGGAGTACAGAGAGAGAGGTGGAAAACACCTGGGGTTGAGAACTGGCCTCCACCACTTTCAACCTCCACCGGTGACCCAGAGGAGGAGACCCCTCTTGTGGGAGGGGGGAGTACCCTGGTCTCACTGGAAGGGTGGCTGGAGAGGCAGAAACCTTTCTTCTCCTTTCCCATTAACACACTGGTCCTGCCTGCGGTGCTGTGGGTCTAGGCCAGGCTGACCCTGTCCATCCTGTAGGCTCGGGAAGTTCGCCGTTTTCGTCCATGCCCGGATGGCAGAGCTGCAGGTGCGGGACCTGAGCCTGAAGCTCCAGGGCATCCCTGGCCATGTGTTCCTCCTGAGGCTTCTGCACGGGCAGCGTGCCAAGCACCAGCTCCTGCTAAGGGCCCGCACTGAGTGAGTGAGCTGGTGAAGGGGGACCCCCGAGTGCCCAGCTCTCCTGATTTGGACAGCACACATGGGCCCAGAGCAGGATTGGGCGGGTAGAGGTCACATAGGTAGGCAAAGGACATCTTGGCATCAGCCACCATGCCTTGGTGTCTCTGGCTTCAGGACAGTGGCATGAGGCAGGATATAGGCAGAACTGGCATCTAGAGCTGTCATCTGGAGCTAAAAGACAGTCTTGAGAACCAGTCTGCAGCGTGAGCGCTGAGTGATGTGAACTCAGCCTGGTTCCCAGGCCTGGACCTCATTCCTGCTTCTAGCTCTTGTTCCCACAGTTGCCCTAGCAACTGTTCTTTGCTTGTTGTGACAGCTATTTCCCCGTCCTCCCCTCCCCCCCAGGAGTGAGAAGCAGCGGTGGATCTCAGCCTTGTGCCCCTCCAGTGCCCAGGAGGACAAGGAGGCCATCAGTGAGGGAGAAGGTATTGTCTTCCACCCTGCCTCGTCCACCTGCCCTGGGTTCCCTGCAGCCCCCTCCTCCCTCCCTGGGTACTGTGTTGCTCAGGACCTCAAGGAAGCAGAGCCAGAAGCCTGAAGCATCCAGAATGGCCCTGAGGACCCTTGGGGGTTGGGCATGGTGGCCATGGGCACAGGTATCTGAGAGGGGATGTCCTGCCTAAGATCACTGGCTAAGTGACAGGACTGCATGTGCCGCAAACGTCTATCTCTGTCTTTTCTTTTTTTGGTCAGTCGTGGGGCTTGAACTCTGGGCCTGGGCATTGTCCCTGAGCTCTTCAGCTCAAAGCAAGCGCTCTACCACTTGAGCCATAGCACCATTTCCAGTTTTCTGGTGGTTTATTGGAGATAAGAGTCTCACAGACTTTCCTACCTAGGCTAGTTTTGAACCATGATCCTCAAATCTCAGCCTACTGAGCAGCTAGGATTACAGGCATGAGACACCAGCACCTAGCTTTGTCTCTGTCTTCATATCAGCTATAAAGAGGATCAGCAGAGTGACCAGAGGGTGAGGGGTGGTGGCACAGAGTCTCTCTTAGGTGTGACAAGAGGCTAGTAAGCCAGGAGCCAGTGTCATCCTGGACACTTCTGTAGTGGGCAGGGGGGTGGGGCTAAGATGTACATAGAAAAGGGGGCTTGTTTTCAGTGAGCACCTACTGTGTGCCAGACCCATGGCCAATTCCTTTGTCTCTGCATTTGTTTTATTTCATTTTTGTGACCCTCTTCTAGATTTGTTTTCTTTGTTTTTCATATCTGAGAAAAAACAAAACTCAGAAAAGTTAAAGCCAAGCACTAGTGGCTCACACCTGTAAACCTAACTACTCAGGAGGCAGAGATCTGAGGATCACAGTTTGAAGCCAGCCTGGTCAGAAACGTCTGTGAGATTCTTTTTTTTTTTTCTTTTTTTTTCTTGTCTTTTCTTTTCTTATCTTTTCTTTTTGTCGGTTGTGGGGCTTGAACTCTGGGCCTGAGGGCTGTCCCTCAGCTCTTCAGCTCAAGGCTAGTGCTCTACCACTTGAGCCACAGTGCCACTTCTGGTTTTCTGGTGGTTTATTGGAGATAAGAGTTTCACAGACTTTCCTGCCCAGACTGGCTTTGAACCGAGATCCTCAGATCTCAGCCTCCTGAGTAGATAGGATTAAAGGTGTGAGCCACTGGTGCCGGACTTGTCTGTTTGTCTGTGAGATTCTTATTACCAATTAACCACCAAAAAGCCAAAAGTAGAACTATGGCTCAAGTGATAGAGTACTAGCTATGAGCAAAAAAATCTTAGGGAGAGCTAGGAATGTGGCTCAGTGGTAGAGTGCTTACCTAGCATGCATGAAGCCCTGGGTTGGATTCCTCAGTACCACATTCACAGAAAAAGCCAGAAGTAGTGCTGTGGTTCAAGTGGTAGAATGCTAGACTTGAGCAAAAGAACTCAGACAGTGCCCAGGCCCTGAGTTCAAACTCCAGGGCTGGCACACATGCAGAGATACACAACACACACACACACACGCACACGCACACGCACGCACTCACGCACGCACGCGCGCACACACAGAGTTAAATGATTTGGCCAGGGTCCCATAGCCAATAGGCAGCAGAGTTGAAATTCAACCACATATGGTCCCCAAAGCTGTGGTTTTTGATGCTGTAAGCCTGGCTAGGCTAGAGAGGAAAGGTCTGCAAATGAGGCAGATACTTTAGCTTGGGCAAGGGTCCTACAAGAGCTGGGTCTTATCCCCCTACTCCAGACAGGTGGTCAGCAAAGGCTCCTGGGAAATAACACTTGACCTTGAAGGCTGAGGAGGGGAACTCCTAGCAGATGGAACAGCCAGTGCAGATGCCCTGAGGCAGAAGGACACTAGAAAGTGGTTAGAGTTACAACATGAGCAAAGGAGGACAAAGACAGGGAGGGAGGTGAAGTTAGTAAGGGCTCAATGCCAGATGACCAGGGCCTTCTGGGACCTGCAAGGACTCTGGTGCTATTCTGAGAGGAATGGAAAATTCAGTGGGTTTCCAATGGGAGTCATGTAGCTTACATGGCAGCTGAGAATGAGGGCCTGGAGGGCCCCGGGGTGTCAAGGGCATGTGAAGGGAAGTGGGGGTCTGGAGGCCAAGGAGATGAACTGAGCTGAGATAGTGAGGATCCTTTGCTAGAGCAGTAGCCAAAGGAGGAGGGGCCAGGTTCACCCAGGCTTTGTGTTTCTGGTCACCATGCCAGCTTGGGCAGAGGAGGCCTATGTCGCATGGAAGGAGCAGAAGCCTCTACCCCCTTTCCTACTGTCTTGCCCCTCCCATCCTGACCCTCCCTGGCTGTCAGACCGCCCCCAGGTCCAGTGCGTGAGAACCTACAAGGCCCTGCAGCCAGATGAGCTGACCCTGGAGAAGACTGACATTCTGGCAGTGAAGACCCGGACCAACGATGGTGAGCCATCCCCTGACCAGCGTTCCCCAGAGGGACCTGGACATCAGGAGGCAGCTACTTGGCTAAATATCACAGGGAAAGATTTGAAAGTTGATCTGCCATAGCATGTGAGAGTCAGGTTCGACAAGAAGAGGAACGTCAGCGGTCAGCTGGTAGGGAGGAAAATTACCTCAGAGGGTGCCAGGAAAATCAGGCCAGAAGGTCATTGATGAGTGGCCAGAGGCAGGGTCCTTCCTAGAGCTGGGTGGTCAGGAGCCCCAGGAGCACTTCAGGCCTGGTGTCCCTGCCACTGACAGCTCCCATGTGTTCCTAGGCTGGCTGGAGGGGGTACGCCTGGCAGACGGCGAGAAGGGCTGGGTGCCCCAGGCCTACGTGGAGGAGATCGGCAGCCTCAGCGCCCGCCTCCGCAACCTCCGCGAGAATAAGCGGGTCACCAGTGCCAGCAGCAAGCTGGAGGAGCCCCCCGTGTGAAGGGCAGCCGTGGCTGGCAACAGCCGCACTGGACTTGGCTTCTGGTCAGTCTAGAGGGTCCACAGTGGCCCCATGCCACAGATGGTGGCTGGGGTACTGGAGTTGGGGGCTTCCAAGGAGTCTCCCCAGTCTTTACTCTCCCTGGTACCCACACTTCAGGGATGAGGGCCAACACAGGGGGCTGCGCCTTCCACCCACCTGATTCGTGGCCCCTATGCAGACGGTGGGTGGACACTGCGGGGTTGGTGGATGCTGGCATCTCTGGGTAGCTGAGACTTTCTCTCCACAGCCAAAGCCCAGAGGGTGCCAGTGCCAGTGTGTGGTCACTCTGTAAATAAACTCCTGGCAGCTTTGCTGGGGGTCCGAGCTGTGATCCCCACAGCTCTGCCCACATGTCCCTCCGCCTCAGATCCCAAGGTGCCTGGCTGTCTCCCTGTAGGGGTTGCCTTTTTCCAAAGTTCTCTTCAACCAGGAGGGACCCCAAGGGTGGGGGTGGGTCTGTGTATCAGTTAGACTGCTTTGGGCTACAAGTTACAAGATAGCAGATTCAAGCAGGCTTAAATATTAAAGAGATGTTATTGGTTCTTGTGTGTGTTGCCTCTGGGTTCTGTAACAGTTCACCACAAACTGGGTGATATAAAACTAGGGAAATGAGCTAGGTAAGGTGGTACACTCCTGTAAACCCAGAGAGGCCGAGGGTAAAGGCAGTGTGGTTGTGAGTTCAAGGTCAGTTTAGGCAAAGTTAGCATGAGAGTGTGTCTGAAAAAAAATTAAAAGGAAAAGACTAGGGCATGGCTCAGGTGGGTAGAGGGCTTGAGCTCCACCATCTATGAGTTCCCTCTCTAGCACTGCAAAACAAGTAGCTAAGTTACACTAAACACATACAATGAATAGATAGAGAGGGAAATAAATGCTGAGCATCACCTGTCTGGGCTCCATCAGCCCTGCCAGGTCCTGGGCACTGCTGCCTCTCTGGCTTGTAGCCACTTTGCTCCAGGTTTGTTTCTGTTTCTGTAGTTCCATGACCTCTTCTGTGTGTCCGTGTCACATCTCTACCTGTCTCCCTTTTATGAATACATGATTGTATTTAAATATATAGATAAATCCCACAGTTTTTTGGTTTTTTTTTTGGTCATGGGGCTTGAACGCTGGGCCTGGGCTCTGTCCCTGACCTCTTCAGCTCCAGGCTGGCGGTCTACCACTTGAGCCACAGTGCTACTTCCAGTTTTCTGAGTGGTTTATTGGAGATAATAGTCTCATGGACTTTCCTACCCAAGCTGGCTTTGAGCCGTGATCCTCAGATCTCAGCCTCCTGAGTAGCTAGCATTACAGGCGTGAGCCACCAGCGCCTGTCTCTACAGTTGTTCTTTTTTGGGGGTCTGTTTTGGGGATTTGAAGTCTGGACTTGGGTACTATACCTGCAGTCTTTTGTTCAAGGCTAGCGCTCTATCACTTTGAGCCAGAGTACCACTTCTACTTTTTGAGTGGTTAATTGGAGATGAGTCTCACTACTTTCTGGCCTGGTTTGGTTCTGAACCATCATCCTCAGATCTCAACCTGCTGAATAGGATTACAGGTGTGAGTCATCAGCTCCTGGCTTGTCTTGAGTCTATTAAGTGTATTAGTTGGCTTTCTATCACTGGGACAAATACCTGAGATAATCAAGTTGAAAAGAAAGAAAATACAGCTAGGTACTGGTGGTTCACACCTATAATCCTAGTGACTGACATCTAGAGGATCATGGTTCTAATACAGTTCATGCAGAGAAATATATGAGATTCCATCTCCAAAATAGCCAGCAAAAAAAAAAAAAAGCAGAGCTGGAGGTGTGGCTAAAGTGGTAGAGCACTAGCCATGAGAAAGCCAAGCAGAACAAGCTCCAAGCCCTGAATTCAAACTCTAGTACCAGCAAAGGAGAAAACTATTTTGACTCACAGTTCAGAGGTTTCGGTCTGTGGTGACTTGACCCTGGTGCTTTGGGCCAGTGGTGGCACAGCACATCATGGTGGGAGTATTCAGAGAAGACATAGGAAGTGGCAGGGTCCCAATATCCTCTGCAATGCATGCCCCAATGACCTACCTTCCTCCCGCCCATTCTTAGCTTCTGAATGTTCCACCAGCTCCTACAAGCCCTCATGTACAGGCCTTGAGGTCATCAAGACAGACTGTCTGTCATGCCAACACGGGCTCCATCCTTGGGACCCCAGGACCAGAAGAATGGACAACTGGGACTAAAAACCTTCGGTCCTCCCAAGGAGATGGCGGGGGAGTGGGGTGGACAGATGAAGCAAATGTAACCACGGGGCAGGTGTGTGGGGCTGACACTCGCAGGTGTCTACAAGGATGATGTGTTTTCTTTCTTTTTTTGGTGGTACTGAGGATAGAACCCAGGTCTCTACACTGAGTCATACCACCAAGCCCTGGAAATGAATTTCTAACAGGAATAAATTAGGGAGAGGGGATGCATTTGAATCTAATCCTGGTTCCCACACATCCCCCTGTGATTTTGTTTGTTTTGGTTGACTGCAGGGCTGAGGATTGAGATCAGCTCTGCCACCAGTTGTCTGTCTCCCCCACACACACACTATTTTTGTGGGTATTGGGTTTGAGCTCAGGCCTCACCCTTGCTAGACAGGTGCTGAGTCACATCTCCAGCTCTTTTTCCTTATTTATTTAGTTATTGTCGGTCATGGGACTTGAACGCTGGGCCTGGGCACTGTCCTTCAGCTCTTCAGCTCAAGGCTAGTGCTCTACCACTTGAGCCACAGTGCCACTTCTGGATTTCTGGTGGTTTATCAGGCCTTTCCTGCCCGGGCTGGCTTTGAACCGTGACTCTCAGATCTCAGCCTCCTTAGTAGCTGGGATTAGAGGTGTGTGCCACTGGCACCCAGCAAATTGTTTTTACAATAGGGTCTTTCAGCCTTTGCCTGGGCCAGCCTGGTCTGTTTTCCTATTTAAGCTTCCTAAGTAGCTTAGATGACAAGCATGAAAAGCCGGGCGCTGGTGGCTCACACCTGTAATCCTAGCTACTCAGGAGGCTGAGATCTGAGGATCGCGGTTCAAAGCCAGCCCTGGCAGGAGAGACTGTGAGACTCCTATCTCCAATAAACCACCAGAAAACCGGAAGTGGCGCTGTAGCTCAAGTGGTAGAGCGCTCACCTTGAGCTGAAGAGCTGAGGGACAGCGCCCAGGCCCAGAGTTCAAGCCCCGTGACTGACAAAAAACAAAAACAAAAAAAAACAAGACAAGCATGAACCACCATGCTCAGCTAATTGATTGAGATGGGGTTTTGCCTGTGCTGGCCTGGAACCACAATATGCTGCCTTCTGATGATGAATAAATGGAATTACTGGTGTCATTTACCCTACCTCACCTTCCCAACCCTTTTATAATTTTTGTTTTGAAACAAGGTCTTGCTAAATTGTCTGGGCTGGCCTTGACATTTTCATCCTCCTGCCTCTATCTCCTAAGCAGCTGGCATATGGTTCCATGCTCGAATAAATAACTGATAACTGTGTGTGGGTGTGTGGGTGTGTGTGTGTGTGTATGTGTGCCAGTCCTGAAGCTTCAACTCAAGGGCTGGGCACAGCCCGTGAGCTTTCATGCTCAAGACTAGCACTCTATCACTTGAGCCACAGCTTCAATTCCAGCTTTTTGCTGATTGATTGGAGATAAGAATCTCAGATTTTTCTGCTCAGGCTGGCTTCAAACCCTGATCCTCAGATCTTAGCTTCTTGAGTACACATGTGACCACCAGCTGAGCTGCACATGCCCTTGGAGTCTGAGCAGTTTTCCCACACAGGCCTCCGTTGGGTGCAGGATCCCATGTTGCATTGGGTCATCCCATTTCGTGGTGTCTGGTCTGTGGCTGTTGCTTAGTTGTTCCTCGGTTTTCATGACTTGAACAGTTTTGAGGCATTCTGGTCAGTGCTTCGTAGCCTAGCCTTCAATTTGGGCATAGCTGATATTTTTCTCATGACTAGACAGGAGTTGCTGCGCTTTGGGCAAGAATACCAAGAATACCACAGAGGTAAACAGACTCCTCACATGACCACATGACGGCAGGACACCTGGGATGGCCACGTGACTTGCCACTGAGGGTAACCCTTTCTGTGTGCGTGCTAGTCCTGGGGTTTGAACTCAGGGTCTGGGAGCTGAGCTTTTTTGCTCAAGGCTAGCGCTCTAGCACTTGAATGACAGCTCAATTTCCAGCTTTTTTAGTAGTTTATTGGAAATAAGAGTCTCACAGATTTTCCTGCCCAGGCTGGCTTTTAATGTAAATCCTCAGATCTCAGCTTCTTGGATAGCTAAGATTACAAGTGTGAGCCAACAGCACCCAGCTGACCTTTCCTTTTAAAATTTCTTTTGGGGTGCAAGGGATAGTTAGCTTCCTTCCTTACCTCCCCCGATGCTGGAGATGAACCAGGACTCTGCCAGAGTCTTTGGATACAAGTAGAGTCTACGTTGGAGGAAAGGGCAGACCTGGCTCCACTGAGGGAGGGTGTGTCCCATGTATATCTTTAATTTGTCCCTTTCCCTCAGTCATTTAGTCAGTTATTTATTTCTGTCAACATGGACTCATAGTTATTCATTGTATACTTGGCATTGTAACCCAGTACTATGGTGTTTTGTTTTGTTTTTTGTCGGTTGTGGGACTTGAACTCTGTGCCTGGGCGCTGCCCCTTAGTAGTTCGGCACAAGGCTAGCGCTCTACCACTTGAGCCACAGCGCCACTTCCAGCTTTTTCTGTTTATGTGTTGCCCAGGGCCTCAGGCGTGTGAGGCAAGCACTCTACCACTGAGCCACCTTCCCAGCCCTACTGTGTTCATTTTATTGCTTAAATCACTCCAGTTAGCCATGGTGGCTCATGCCTGTAATCCCAGCTACTCTGGGGTAGAGATCAAGAGAATTATGACCTCAAGGCCAGCCCAGGCAAAAATCTGGCAAACCCCTCCCTCTCCCCCTTGGTGTGGATGTCAGGCACTTGGACAGGCTGAGAACTGAAGCCCAAGTGGAAAGGAAGGCCCCTCAAGGGCCTCCACTCCCGAGTCTGCTGGAAGAGAGCTGTGGTTGGCAACAGGCACCAGACCTGCCCTGGCACATCTGGCCACTGGCTGGCGCCAGGTCTGGAATGGATGATTAGGAGTCTGAGGGCCGGCACTGGGGTGTGCTGCCAGGGAAGGGCGAGCCTGGGCCACCTCCCTACCTGCCCCCTGACCTGAGGGGAGACCCAGGCCAGCACAGGGGTAAAGGGGTGCCCCCTTCTCAGCCCCTGAAGGCCAACTGTGCATCCCCCCTGGGCCAGGGACACAGAGCCCTGCCCATATCTGCTACAGGAGGAAGCAGGTAGGGGTGGCATCAGCAGGACAGGAGATGGACAGGTGGGCACACTCTGGCAGGGTAGGAAGTCAAACCCCCAGGCTGTCTGCTGTCTAACCTCCAGGCCTCAGGCTCAGAGCCTTTAGGATTCAGCCTCCGAGGCTTCCCGCCCTCCTTCCTCACGCAGACCCTTGCCTTCCCCTCCGTCACTTGTTTATGTCCAGGGTGCAGCACTGAGCTTTCAGTGGGCATCACTGAACCCCATTTCAGTCTCAGCTGGACTCCAGCTGCAGGGGTACAGAGCAAAGGATGGAGCACTTGTTTCTTTGTAGGCTTCCCTCCCTCCCACCTTCCCTCCCTCTTCGCAGTCCCCTAATTTCCTCTCTGAAGCCCTATCTTGTGAGGCCAGTGCCAGCCTGGCCCCAGCAGGAGGCACTTGCCTTAGCCTCTGTGGGGTTTATATACACTGGCACAACTGCTTGGGAAAGCCAACTTGG